TTAAATTTTGTTTCACTGTTTCAGAAGAAGGTCCGGAAGTGGCTAGTGGTGAACAGAGTCAAACCTACAGAGAGAGCATTGGAGTGTAGCATGTTTTCTTCAAAGTTACCTTAAGTTTGCAGACTTAATGACAGGGAATCAGTGAGTTTTGTTCCCCGAGACCCTCATTGCCGAGGGGAGCATTGAGGTCGAGGGGAAATAAAACTCACTGTTTCCCGTGGGGCCAGTCATCAAGTGTTTATTATACCTCCCAACTCAAAGATGAAACGAACTGTAAAAAAAAATATATATTTGCTTGGCACTGGCTGGCACACATTTGCCGCGGTTTCAAGGTGCACAACCTGATCACGTGCGAGTCGACAGTTCAAGATGTTGTTTCCCTAGGGAGTTTTGTTCGCCCTAGGATGTTAGTAAGTTTTTATCCACGACGCGTGACACGTTCTCCTCCAATCGGAAAACGTATTTGAGTTGAGAGGTATAACAAACTGATTTATTGTTAGATCTTGTTAAAGACGTTCAAATTAATGTTTATATTAAACAATGTTACATTCATGTGTAAAAATCAGTGAATACCGTACATGTATTTCATTGTCATATTTGATAAGTAATATAATTGTATATTTATAACTAGCGTGGCCTAGTTTATTTAATACGGCATGAAGTTATCCGCGCGCGTGACTTGGTCCCTAATTTGAAACTCTGTGAAGATAATTTGGTCAAGTATTGAGGTGTAAATAAACTTTTTCCAGCATGACTACTCGAACTTGGCCACTTGGAAAAGAGTTCATCGATCAGAACATTGCTTGAGAACAAAGAATAGTGATCTTTTTCTCAAATAAACCATATTAACTATGAATAAACCAGCAACATTTGAGGAATGCGAACAACAGATCTAGACAAAATTGAAAACCCAACAAAGTGCGAAGTGTTGGGACCCTCTCAGCAAACTTTGCCATTTGTTGACTGGTTAGTTTCAGTCTTAAATTTTGTACGCTCTTCAACAGTTTCGGTTTAGTTGTCGCAGTATCAGTTTTCAAGCTGAATGTTTCGAGCGAGATTTACAATTATGACAATTCGCCGTCAAGGACTG